GGGTCTTACATCATACCCAATATGCAGCCACTGAAATTTCCCTTTCCCTCACTGAAGAAGAATATAGGTTTACATGGACTCTAGTCAATGGAATAAAATTATGTGTCAGCCCAATTTAGAGTTAAAATTTCGAGTGAAATACAATAATCAACATTATTACTATTGATATATATCAATCTCAGAAATAATAGAATTTATGTATTTCCTCTTATTGATTTGATTTGATTTGTTTTATTTTTTTAGAAAAGTTTTTATTTTCTGTTTTCTTTTTTAGATTGTAGTTTGTTTTAATTTCTTTCTGTAACTCACTCAGATCAAGACCCATAAGAGATAATTATAGTTCTTTCATTTCATAGAATTTTGAAGAGATTTTCATAATAATAATAATAATAGACTTTATTTAAAGAGGATAAAAACATGTTAAGCCATAGACTTATCTCACACATGGTCCTCAAAAATAAGTACTATATACAGAAACTAGTAATACATTTATAAATAAAGAAGTACAGAAATATAACATAACAACTCAATTTTTGACATGAACCATTTAAAATAGGTACTTTTAAAAGCTCCAATTGAGTCACTATCATGAATTGGTAGAGGTATTTTATTCCAGAATTCAGCAGCCGAGAATTTGAAGCTATCTGAATATACTTTAAGAATTTTACCAGGAGCCAAGTATAACTTGGAACTGTCTGAATTTCTGGTAGTCCTAGTGCTGACTTCTCTGACCAATGTGTCTCATTATTTGTTCTCATTGTATCTAGATAGCACAGCTCCCTAATTACTTGTCATTCAGGAGAGCCATTTTTAGCCTCCAAGCCATTTTAGAAAGGCTATGCCTTGAGAATACCATGTATGAGGGGTTGCTTCAACCCCCACTACTTGTATATGTCTCATTATTTGTTCTCATTGTAACTAGATAGCATCGAGTAATTGTATAATTTAACTAAAATAGTTAAATTAATTTCTTGTTTTTTAATTTAGTACATTAGAGATGCCTATATGGAGGATCCTGATAGATATAATGAAGAAATCAAACAGCTAGATCAACTGAGAACTGTAAGTATCTGAGGTTATTCAGTTCATAACAGACCATTACTATCAATAATAAAATTTGTAATGTAAACATATAACATTTATATCAATAAAATGCTTGGTTTTATTATTGTCTAAATAGCATTATAATACAATTACAGTAGAACGTCGATTATCCGGACTGTTAGGGGGACATGCTTTTTGTTCGGTTATGCAAACAGTTCGGATATGCGATCTTGTGTGGGTGTGCTCAAGTTTACAGGCTCACGTACACACAAATTCTAACGCACATGACTGTAATGAAATCAAACAATAGTACATGTAGAGTACGTCATTAAAAACATTTTTATTTAATCAGTAATACATTGTAATAAAAACGTTGCATGCTGGAATGTTAAAAAAAATTTCAAAATGTCCGTAAAATGTAGCGATAATAAAGTTCCTTTGCTTCTTTCTTGGGAAAACCAAGTCCCGGAACCAAGTGAAGACGGCTGTTTTCGTTATCTTTCGTTTCAGTCCTGCACTTGAATCCATTTTACTGAAAAAATCCAGCAGCTTTTGTTTTGCCTTGATATCGGAAATCGTCGATTTACCAACACCATACTCGGTAGATTAGATTGCTTGCGGTTTCGCCACGTTCTAGTCGATTTATAATTGACACCTTCGCGCACACAGCGTTTGCATTTCAGTGGGGTAGCCATGTCAACGCTAGATAAAAGACGCTGATAAAGTAAACAGGTGAAAGGTCGTTTCGTATTCGCTGTGTATAGATCGGCTCGATGTTACCAGATTGCTCGGGGATTTTCAAATTGTAAACTGCTACAAGATGTCCAGATTTTATTGGATTCAGCAAAGTTTTTAACACCTAGAACGATTGACATAATAAATTGTTGTAAAAATCCAGGTTGGCTACTGTGATCATCGGACGTAAACACTTCGACGCTGTAAACCATCAAATGGCCCGCCGACTGTGGTCATTGGTTGCCGTTGTCTGCTGATAAACCATCAAAGAGGCACACTAAGGGGTTGTCGTTTCGTCTCTCTTTTTCACTGCACTATTAAACTGGCATCGCTTCTGTGGCAAGACATCCCAGAAGTTATTTTCTTTCTTTTTTTTTCGAAATGGATGTGACTTCTGATACTGGACATTAAAATTAAAAATCGGAAAAAACATGGGATCGGCTCATGGCCGCATTTCTTTGACGGCAGTGGAACCCCGTACAATTTTCCCGGGAAACGTATCCAAACTGCGATGACTTACAACTTGGTAAATTTAAAGATCTGACTGTAAACAGTGGAGAAGACATTTGATTAAGTTTGTGTTTTTAGGACATTTTTTATTTACAGTGGAACACTGGTGTGGCGTAATAGGCTTGTCTGAATTTAGGAAATTATTGGACACTGTAATTCGTTTCATTGTTTGCGCAGACACTGTAAACAATGAACGTACACGTGAAAGACGTCGGATTACATGTTGATAACAGCTTTATTGAAAGTGTTGCACCAGGAAATCACACAAGACGACTGTAGTATTTATTGTTCACAGTTGACTTTTGTATTATATGGAACACAGCCAGACCTGCATACAAACTTTGGGGGACACACAGTAGGTTCGGATAACCGAACATTTCGGATAATCGACGTCCGGATAATCGACGTTCTACTGTACTGAATACTGAAAAATGACTAAATTTTCACTGGGTTTAAATTTCCTGATTTACCTTTTCAGGCATATTCAGTGGGTTTTAATTTCATAGGTTTTAATATTTAGATAATGTGTTCTATGCTAAATTTTAAATATTTACTGGGTTTCAATTTAGCGCATTTTCAAGTCGGCCAAATAAGCAAATTTAAAACCCAGTGAATAATTAACCCCTTTACAGTGGTTAAGGCATAACTTAACTTCCAAGCTGACTGTCAGCTTGCTTTGCCTTTTCATAGAAACTTGTCATTTTTCAAGTATCGTTGACATCAATAATTTCTACTTATTTTTTGTGGTGTTTGCCTTTTGTTAGTAATACAAGTTGTATTTAGGCAGATTACTCTAAATATTTTTGATATATTATATGGCTTAAAACAACCTCAGCTAACTTTATGCCAGCCTAGAGCTAGCTAAGTTGTGCTTGGACTTGGACATTGCTACTATGTATCCTATTTACATATTCATCATAGTAGATAATATTCCCAACTATAATCATTCTGAATGAAAACAAAATTGGTTTTGTCAGAATGTGCAACTTCATCATTTATAGCCACATCAAATGACCGGTAAAGATACACTTTAAGGGTTTCTCTGCATGTTTAAATATTTTTCAGATACAAAACATTAGAGTATGATTTTTTCATAAAATAAAGCCTTGTTTTGGCAGCAAACATAGAGGTAGTTAATTGCTGAAATAAAACAGTTCTATTGTGCATGCATTCTGAATTTACTTTGCATACATGTAATTAAAAACTCAGTACCGGTATTTCATTAAATAAATACTGCTTTGTTTGCTGCGAAAACAAGGATTTTGTTCTATTATAAATGATATAAACACCATAATGTTTGTATCAAGATGCATTATCAAACAAGACTATTTAACTTACCCTGGTACTTAAAATTTCTCATTTGCATTGTCTTTATGATTAATTTTTTGCTTGTTTGTTTTTTCAACTTTAGAATGCTACCAATGCTACAAGAGATTTCAATGGTTGTAGCATGTTACGGAAATACTATGGTCAGTTGCATTTATTACAGAGTCGTTTTCCGATGGGTGAGGGTGGTACAGTTATAGTACCCTTTACCTGGTGAGTATAGCCTTATTAATTCCATCCTCCATAAACTGTTAAATATTCCTTGTTCATGGTCTTGTTCTCTTAGATTCTGCTATGGGTAAATAGTTTTATTCATGGTGGCTCCTGTATTTGATAGTAGAGCATGTACTTCTGAAACTGACAATGGTATGGCTATGATTTTAATAAGTCATTTGTATGATCCAATATACAATTAATGCCTAAATGTCTAAATTTAATAGAGATAATTCCCAGTATAGTAATACTGCATTGTTTTTTTTTTTACTAACTAACTAATTTGTTTAACAGTTGGGCTATTGGCGATCTGATAGGATGATGACAAAATTTAAAATTATGATGACTTGCAGATACTTTTTTTCATGGTATATACTAATGTTATATACTGTAATTTGAGACATGCACAAAGTCGCCTGCAGATTTCTCATAAAATGTACAAAAAAAACTACAGAATGCAGCCTTGATGCCAGCACAGAGTATACAATTGCAATATATTTATAGTAACAAAAATCTACAAAGCAGATGCATGGAAGAATAAGTAGGATCTATTTAATTTTAAATTTAACATAGAATAATAAGGATCGAGAGAGAGAAATGTAGGCAGGGATGAACGAACAGACAGAAGAAAGGATGAGGAAGATCAGTTATGTTCCATAATGCGTAAATTATATCCCAATATGCTTTCTAGACATGTTTAATACAAGGCTTAATAGTTCAAAATGAGAATTTGGCTTAAACTGTTTTAATCAAAAAATATTTGATTATCAAAATTTCAAACATTTGTCTGATTAACTGTACTGGAGATTATAACCCAAGTTGCACACAGGCAGTTAAATTTTCTTTTGTCTCAGACAGGAAGTGTATATCCTCTGTTTTATGAGGTCTTGGAATGAACACATTAAAAATGATTAACATTCTATTTTCGTTTAAATACTGTATGCCTGATTACTGGGGATAACATTGATCTGTTCATTTTTCCCCAAACAGGATGGATATGTACTCTGAAGATTACATCACACTTTGTGATATACGATATGAACAGGCAGCCATATTGTATAACTTAGGAGCTTTGCATTCAATTCTTGGTGCATTTGACAAGAGAAATTCCGAAGAGGTACAGTTTTTAAATAATTTCTCACTTAGTCAATACAAATATTTTTTATGTTATCTAAAAGTGGTCAGCTACACCTGCAGATTGCCTTACTTATAGATACTTTTCATCTCAGGTATATTTTAAATACTAATCAATTGTTTCTAAAGCAAATGTCCATTAGCTCTCCACAATCACTGTCATCTTCACTTTTACCTTTTCACTTTGACTCCTTTACTGTTTTGTCACTTTTCACAAATGACTATGTTTGTTTCCAGGAAATATTTGACATTTCTGATAAATATCATTGTTTGTGTTTCATTCAAAATTAACATAGAAATTACGTTATTAGTTAGTCTTCTTTTTTTTATCATCATCTATAATCCCTAAAATAAATGTTAGGGAACATTTTGTTGATTTTAGACTTACAGACTTTCAACACCCGGCAATAGACCATTTTCCGTACACTGCGAGAATCACGCATTATGCGTGAAATCGAATGTAAAAACAGGACAAACAAAGGTCATAGCGTCGTAGTCGCGAAAGTATTTCGGGGACATTTCCATGCTTAATAATGTGCTGTCCACATTTGATGATAGTCAATTTCGATTAAGTGAGGGTATTCGGAAGCAATATTCCTCTGTCGAAGATCGGCCGGTCAATGTAAGCTGCGAAATAAAGAAATTCTAGTTCAAAATCAAATCGTTCGATTTTTGCGGCAGACGTTCGACGCGCGTCTTTCATGTATCTCGCGAGATCTCGCAATTGTTCGGAAAATCACCTATTGTAGCCCACCCCTCCAATGTTGTGCCCATGTTCATTATGGTTTTCAACAATTGTTTACAGGGTATGAAAGTGTCTTGTACACATTTTCAGTGTGCAGCAGGAGCATTCAGTTATTTACGTGATCATTTTGGAAGTCATCTGAGTCCTGACCTGGCCCATGATTTATTGTCTATGTATATTAGTGTTATGCTGGTAAGTATGACTTGTGCATTTTAACAACCCAATCTGTATACTAGTAATTGTTTTCCTTTTTACCCAAAAAATTGTTCAAGACATGTAGGGAATGGGAAATTATATCTATTTGATTAAAACTTTGCAAAGAAATTACCTAAAAAAGTGTGAGATATTGTACTTACCCTCAATCTGATTGAAATGAGATGCTGAATTGTTCAACTTACAGACATAGACTTACAAACATCATGTTATGAAAATGATCACGCCCATATTTTAGAAGCCATGTCAATTTTTGTGAAACGATGTCTCTAAATTGTAACTCAATGTTCAGTTATCATGTTCAATTTAACGCTTTATGTCTCCTGTAACTGTTATCAGTAATTAAAATTCGAGTTAAAAAATTTGAATGTTAAACAATATTTAATATTTATTGCATTAGTGTTTATAGCATATTTATGACTTTTGCATCGCACATTGATTGCATTAGGGTTGCGCATTCATTATCCTTCATCATGCTGGCATTGCATATATGGATTGCATATTTTAACCACCACAATCTAAATTCACTCTCTGGGAAAACACAAACATTGCTATCAGGCATCTATGATAGATCATCTCTGTGAGTTCATTTCTTTAAAAACATTATCCATTAAAAATACAATTACGGTGGCTGAGTCTGGCTAGTAGAGCCCCAGTGTGTTTCAGTATAATGCCCGATCAAAATGTTAAGTCCGAGTGCAATAAATTGGCAACACAAATGCGATAAATGCGCGATATGAATGCCATAAATGTATGAATATATTTGACAGGCTGTACAAAATAGTGTTTTGTACATTCATTTCATGCCTTTAACATGGTGTACCCAAAATGAAAGTTTTGATTTTGTATTTCTTAGACCTTTTCTGTAGGGAGAAAATTTTTTTATTTTTAACCCTGATTTTATTTGTGTTTGTTTCAGGGTCAGGCACAGGAATGTCTATTAGAGAAGTCAATGCAGGATAACAGAAAGAGTTCATTAGTGGCCAGAATAAGCCAACAAGTTGCCGATTACTACACACAAGCTTTACGCAGCCTGGATACCAGTTCTGTATCATCCATAATGGGATCAAGAAAATGTAAAGAATGGAAAAAGATGCTACAAACAAAAAATGCCCATTTTTCAAGTATTTCATTTGTAAGTTTAAACTACAGAGATTTTAGATTGTTTAGATTTTCCATTACAACTCAAATTTCAAAGTGTGGGGTCATACATGACTCCTTTTCAAGTACAAGACAACACCCAAACTTTTCAAATCACAGGTACATGTATACCAGTATACTGAAGAAAACCTAATTTTCGCTTGGAATTTATTTTACTCTGAAGGAACGATTCAGTGAAAAAAAATCGAGCGAATATACCTTCTTTTTCCTATATTTCACATTCAACTCGTAAAAATTCAGTGAAAATAAATTTCCATACAAAACACCCAAAATACCTTTTCAGCAAAAATTTATTCCAGCTAAAATATAGTATTTTAAAGTATTTTGCATTTATTGGTATTGCATATAATATTCTTGAAATGTGTTTATGAAGGATGTCTAAATGTATATTACCGGTAGTTGCCTATTTTACTGTGTCATATTATTTTCTCTTGTAATATCCTCTGTCCTACCAGACATGACCCATGCCAGGATTACAGCAGTTATTGATTATTTATCAGTCCCTGTTTGGATGTAGGTCCAAAAACAGGGACTTATAATTTCACTGTGCATCTGTGCATTGGTGTGTGCGCCCTTCTGTCCACACATGTATCAAGACATGCCTGGGCTAATCTCATTCAAACTCGGCACATACATCACACATAATAAGCACGTGGCTGAATGGCTAAATGAGGGACATTTGAGAAGTAAGTACTAATCATAATCAAGCTTTTCTGCCGTTCAAAAACTGGATCTCGGTCATGCATGGATATTAAACATAAAAGGTCCTTGATGCACATTATTTTCCCCATATTTGATTCAAAATGACAGACTGATACTTATTTTATTTTTAACGAATGATATTCAAACTTTACAAAAATCATTTAACACATTTACACCTGTTTCAGAATCTGATTCAATATGGCCGTCATTTTCGTGCAAAAAATGCATTACGAATAAACTGGCTCCTCTTTGTATCATGTCTGTCAATATTAGTGTATCTGACTTTAATGTTAACAGTCACTAACAACTGGACGGGAACTTGTCATTGACAATAACTTATTTGTGTTATATCTTGTAGATGTATATGGGAAATCAAGTTGGTGAACAGCAAAAATTTGGTGAGAGAGTGACATATATGCAAGCGTCATTAGATAAACACAATGAAGCCATGAAATTAGCAAAGGTAAGTGATACATGTATGTTGCCTATATTTGCTGTACTCTTTTTATAGCAGTATGTGCAATGGAGATTTTTTTAGATATTTTTTTTCTTCTGTCTAGTCTTTCACACTTTTTTTGCAATGCAAAGTGACTCGTTGGGAAGAACCAGTCATCTGTAACTGAAAAGATAAAATAATGGCCTTATAGCTGCTGTTATTAAATATACGTGTACATGTATGTGTCTCTATTAATAGAACAACTAATGGGCATGGGTCTTTGTTATCAGACACTCACATACTGGTTAACAACAATGTATTAAACAAATGAAACAAACAAATCACATTGTAATTATTAAGTTATGCTGAAATCATATTTTAATATACTCTGTGAATCATATAGAATATTTGTGACATGGGAATATATACATCAAAATGTGTGAGAAGTGTGTAATATAAATTATTGATCATTATAGTATATGCAGCAGTAATATATTTATATATATGAAATGACTCACCAACAAATTCTCAATATTTAGGGAATAACATAGCATACTCAAAAGAATTTGGTCCAAATTATGGTAGTCTAAAGTGCATAATATTCATTTCTACTTGTAGGGGCAACATGAGACGATTACAGAAGCATTGAAGTTTTCAGTAGATGTCATCGGTGGCAAGTACAATGCTGCAAAAAAGGACAATGATTTCGTTTACCATGAAAGCGTTCCAACATTAGACAAGATGCCAGAAATTAAAGGTACAGGACCTCACAACTGTCTTCGTCAGCTTTGTTATGTTTATGCTGGAAATTTTGACGGTATTGATGGTGTTTGAGAACAAAATTTCACGGAAGTTGCTGTAGCTCCGCGTTTAAAGGCAGTTGTAATCACGCAGCACATGTTTGAATTTCATGTAAACAAACAATGTATATTACACGTGTAATGTACGTTGCTATGAGTCCCATATCGAACAGGACGTGGCGTGATGACCACTGCCCTTGCTCTGATTTCATTAAAATTAGGATTCCAGCAAAATTATTACTGCTACTTCTCACAAAATGCATAGTAGTTTGTCTCTTTTAAAATTAGAGCAAATTTGGGGTTTTATTAACATTCATAACATTGAAAAAATCAATCCTGCATAATATTTAAAATGCATGGATAGCCTGGGAGCAACATTAAGTCATTCGTCAGAAACAAGTAAAAACAAAATACTATGACTCCTAATACCATGACTGTTCTTTTTGCTGATAGGTGCATCTTTAGTCAAGGCACTACCTTTCCAGCCATATGATGAGAGCGTGGCTGGTCCCGATATCTTCAAAAAACTAGTCCCCATGGAAGCTCACGAAGCTGCATCAATGTACAGTGAAGAGAAAGCTAAGATGCTTAGACAGGTTGCCATGGAGATAGATGAAAGGAATGCACAATTGGAGTATGTATAATTTGTTTGGGTTCTTAGTAGTTTCTGGAAAAGATTATTTCTGGAGGCATTTCTTGGACTTGCCTGCACTGATTTTGTTGATACATAGACTAAGACGTGATAAATACATGTATGCACTTCAACTTGTTTTTGGATTTGATGACCTTTGACCAACCAAACATGACAATTTGTATTGCGTTTTTTCCTGTTTGATTCAAGACGGCAGCCATTCAGTCGCTTGTTTTTTTACCCATTTTTCTCACAGGCCATCTCTGTTCAAATTTGATATAAAGCCCTGAGGCCAGAATTGTCTGCATATGTTTGCCAGTTTCTTTCCATTTCAATTACTGGATATATTTACACATCATGTAGTCATGTTCACCTGTTTCAATCTTTTCAGTCAATACCTAACATCACTTCAACTAGACCAACTCAAGTTGCAAGGGAAAGAACCAGAAAGGTTACCACAAGTATTACTAGAAAAGTGTGCAGCGATAAGCGTCAAACCCGACTCGATTAAAAATCTAGTTGCCGTAATGCAGGAGTTATCCAACGTGGTGTTGGATGTAGATGATGGTATCACTCAGCTTAATCAAATTATAGCTGAAGAAGAAAAGAGTGAAGAAGAATTCCAGGTAGACAATAAAAACTAATACCAGTATATTATCGTCTAGTTTATCTGGCTACTCGCTGTCTAGTTTACCTGTTTTTATGAGGTATGTAAATGTGTCGAAATGGACATAGTGCGAGTGGTTAGTGCTAGTAGCACTAATCCGAAAAACTACTAGATCTAGTGCTAAAATGGCACTAGATCTAGTGCTAAAATGGCACTAGATCTAGTGCAAAAACGGCACTAGATCTAGTGCTAAAATGTACATAGTGCGAGTGGCATTGATATTGCGTTGTCAACGACGTCAAGACATCCCGTGATTCTCTGAAAATAAATTAATATTTACGTAAAATAATTGTATCTTTCATTCATTGGAAATGTGCTACAGTGGGAAAATTGAGAATGTCATTGTCCACGTTTGTCGTAATACTAATAGACCTTTGGAACAACGCGATCGGCCGGGAAACTAGCTGAAACAGTGAAACTGCAGGTCGAACTGCGCAATTTTACAAATTGTGAATAGATATACTGTATGAAATGGTATTGTGGG